ACACACACACTCTCTCTCTCACACACGCACACACACACACACACAAACACATGACTGTATGCTGGATGTACACTGTATCCTTGTGTTCGCGCTGCTTTGTGTAAGTGTACTGGGTCTGTTCATTAGAGCGCTGCTTTAAGCAGGTGTGATGTGGATCTATTTGGTTTGTATTCCTGCAGTGCTGCGAGTAACTCCACTCAGTGAAAAACATTGGTCCAAAATCCAGTGTCTGTGACTATGCCTAATTACATTTCTAAATTAAATAAATTTAAATTAAAAGTTAATTAATAATTAATAAAAATGAATTAATAATTAATTCAAACAGTATCTCACACTTGTTTGTCTTTTCCTACAGAATGACGCCATTCCTCAGGATACATTTACACCTGACGTATACCGACAGCTCCTGAACAACATTTGTCCGCGGAACGACATCGATACGATCTTCTCAGAAATGTAAGTTCCGTCTGCATTCTGATGGAAAAAATCCAACCTCACAATCTAATGACTGATCTAGTTCACCCATCACTTGTGTAAGTCGTTTCAGAGGTGGAGCAAGTTACATGAAGACTTTATTTTTTATTTTTCTTTAGAATAATGAATCATTTACAATAAAACCTGGAAAGTGTGTTAAGAAATATACACAAAATATAAAAGTCCATTTAGATGTCATGTTCATGTAAACTAAACTTGTATGTGGTCATGAATGGACTCATCATGTGTAAAGTTATTTCTTTTTGTGTGTGTGTGTGTGTGTGTGTGTGTGTGTGTGTGTGTCTCTCTCTCTCTCTCTGTGTGTCTGTGTGTGTGTCTCTGTGTGTGTGTGTGTGTGTGAGTGTCTGTGTGTGTGTGTGTGTGTGTGTGTGTGTGTCTCTCTGTGTGTGTGTGTGTGTGTGTGTTTCTGTACTGATGTGCAGCGGCGCTAAGATCCGGCCGTACCTCACCGTAGAGCAGATGACGGATTTCCTGAACAACAGACAGAGAGACCCTCGTCTGAATGAGATCCTATACCCGCCCCTCAAAGCGGAGCAAGTGCAGGGATTGGTGGAGAAATACGAGCCTGACACCATGCTTTCACGAAGAGGTTGGTGATTCTCCTGTCACTCAAACAGACTCCGCCCACTGTCTGCTGTTTGATCCCTGAGAATTAAAGCTGTAATGATTTAAAATGCTCATATGATGTTGAACTGAAGGTTTGCTGTTCAGTGAATAAGAGTTTGATGTTATGTGACGGTCAAAACCCAAAACTTCCTCTCTCCAGTCCATCCTGAATATTTATTACTTAAACTGCAGAAACAACATCACAACCATGAGGTCATTAACATATGACCCGTCCACACATATTCAGTATGAACTACACCAATCATAACAAGGCTCATTTACATTTTACAAGTGGCAAAGAGTCCGTTTTACAGTAAAAAGAAGATAATTAAATCAAAAAACATTTGGAGAGATGAATGTAGATGTTTTTGTTAAGAGCCATACTGTAGCAGCTCATGAGCCCTGTATCAGAGGAGGGTTCTCTACTGAGTCTAACTCACTGCAAAGAACCATCGAAGAACCTGTATGTTTAAAAGATGCTGGATTGTAGTCTTCCGTGGAGATGCTGTCTGTCCTCATGAACCTCGTCTCCATTTCTGAGTGCACTGCATTAATGAAGTCTTTCTCCGTGGTGTTCCCTCACGAGGCTGGAAAGGTGAGCGCTCCGCTGAGATGAAAGTCACCCGTTGCTGCTTCATTAGAGGCAACCTGTTCAGATGTCAGAGGAAGAGCTGTGTTAATTAGGCTGTGGGAGTCTACAGAGGGCATGGCAGGATTAATTAGCGTAAAGTGGCCAGAGGACAGCGGGGATGTTACATGCGCTAGACTCCACCTGAGAGCCGCGGAGCCCTGTGAAAATGGACTGAAATGAGAAGCGGCTGGCCGACATTCCAGCAGTCTGAGCTGTCACTTCTGCTGAACTCATGATGATTTCATCTTAACGAGGATACACTCGTGGCATTCTGTGGTTACAGTTGCATTCTTTCTTAAAATAAGATTAAGTAGATTAGAGGTGCTCATTCCTGTTCCTGTAGATCTACTGTACCTGTACTGATCCAAATGTTCCTGAAGGCCTTCAGTAGTCGGTTCTGGTGCTGGCGCTAGACTTTGTGGGAAGGTAGATCTCCAGGAGCAGGACTGAGCACTGCTGACATATTGTAAAAGGGGGCATAATATGTCTCCTTTAAATACTCTATGTAATATAAGTCTCTGGTGTCCCCAGAATGTGTCTGTGAAGTTTCAGCTCAAAATACTCCACAGATCATTTATTATATCATTTTGAAAATGCCTATTTTGAGTGGAAGCAGAAACAAGCTGGTTTTCGTGCCTGTCTCTTTAAATGCAAATGAGCTGCTGCTCCCCGCCCCCTTTTCCAGAATAGAGCTTCGCCATTACAGCTCGGACCTGCTAAAAAACATCTGTTTTGGTTCTGATGATCATGTTTATCGCGCTGAAATCATGCGTTTTAAACCATATGAGTTTAAACTTCTGATATACGGTTTTCTGAGCGCACACATCCAAATAGGGCTGCACGATATTGGAAAAAACTCACATACAGCTTGTACCTGCTAAAAACATCTGTTTTGGTTTTGATTATCATGTTTATCGCGCTGAAATCATGCGTTTTAAACCATATGAGTTTAAACTTCTGATGTACGGTTTTCTGAGACCACACATCCGAAGCATACGGACAGAAAGCGGCTGTCACAGCATGAGTACTAAACTTAAGTTCTCATTCACACACAAGTTTACGTTAAAAACACACAAGTTACAAAAACAGTTGGTTATTTCTGTGAAGGTAAACTGCTGGGAAATAAATCGCTTGTTTATTTTAGATCTGTGTGGCAGCAGCAATATACAGTAAATAAATCAATAAATGCACTGCTTTGTTGTCTCTGAGGCTGGGACTCTAAACAGTGTTCTGTGCTCATCTGTGCAGCCAAACACAGAACAGTTAGCATGCTTCGCTCAAACTTTCATCATGGCATTAGAGCTAGCGCACCGCTGTCGCTTGCAAATCAAAATGATGGTGTCATGGGCGTAAACTTGCAGATTAAGGGGCGGTAATATTATAATGAGATCCCTTTGCCACGTCACCAAGGGAGCGAAATCAGACGCGCTCGTTTTCTCAGACGCTTGCAGAAAAAAGCTTCCCAAAACAAAGTTACTGGGTTAATCTTTTTCACGTTTCCTTGGTTGGTAGATGCACCGGGGACCTGATTATAGCACTTAAAACCTGGAAAAGTCAGATTTTCGTGATATGTCACCTTTAAAGAAGGTAACCATCCACTGGTCTGAAGGTCTGTCCAGCACAGTCCAAAGTTTGCAAATGTACACAGGATTGTTAATATTGTTGTTTTGTGGTGCAGGGCAGATCTCGGTGGAGGGCTTCGCCAGATATCTCAGCGGAGAAGAGAACAGTATCATCCCTCCAGAGAAGCTGGACCAGAGTGAAGACATGACGCTGCCGCTCTCGCATTACTTCATCAACTCCTCGCACAACAGCTACCTCACAGGTCAGCCAATCAGACGACTCGCACAACACCTACCTCACAGGTCAGCCAATCAGATGCCTCGCACAACACCTACATCACTCTGTACATCAGTCCCTCACAGCCTCATTTTCATTCCTGTCATCAGCCACAGGCTTTATACTCCGCAGAGCGCTGGTACTGTGAGCCACGTCATTTTGTTGTGAACACAAATTGAATATGAAACTGTCAGGGATTTGGTTTGGGGTTTTTCCGTTTCCGTCAGACTATATGAAGAAGTGAGTCACTCTGAGAGCACAAAAGCAGATGTTTAGCCTTTGAACATGAACTAATGTTTGTGGGATGCTCACAAATGTACAAATAATCCTCAGTGATAATCGTTTGTTACCTGAACAGATGATCCAGTGTCAATGTGGTTTCAGATGCTAATGCACTTAGATTTAGCCATTCGAATGAAGATGGAGTGACAAAAACCTCCCTGCAATTCTTTGCACTTATGTAGTTGTAGAATTATGCACTTCCAATCCATATACTCAATTTTACAATAAAACTCAAGATGTGTCACTAATGCATTTTTAGATTAATTTAGATGAAGTTCTGCCAGTTATCTCAATCAGACAGGAAGCACATAATCACTCAGAAGACCAAAATATATGTGACTTCTGTAACATAAACCATTCTCCACTTTTATTAAAGGCTTTGCATTGCATTTGCTCTCAGCTGAGGTGCATTATTATTGTAGGTGAAATGGTAACATTATGAATGCAAAACTTTTGACAAGGAAGAGAAGCACTATATTTTAATGATCAAACTTGATCAAATCAGACAGGTGAAACATGCAATGCATCAGCAAAGACAGGAGATTAGATACGAGTGAGAGGCTTGTTATCGAGTCTCCTGATGTCCGTCGTGTTGTTTTCTGCAGCGGGTCAGCTGGCGGGAAACTCGTCTGTGGAGATGTACCGGCAGGTTCTGCTCTCCGGCTGTCGCTGTATAGAGCTGGACTGCTGGAAGGGACGCACCGCCGACGAGGAGCCCATCATTACACACGGCTTCACCATGACCTCAGAGATCTGCTTCAAGGTAAATGCATTTATCTCCCTTGTTAGGTGTGGCCTCTGCAGTCCGAGGGATTTGAGCTGGATGAGATGGTTTTGACAGGGATGTGGAGAAACAGAACCAGCGGTGAGATTTAGCAGAACATTCAGACGGCAGGCAGAACATGAAGGATTATGAGGAAATGGCATGAAGGAGGCAGAGAGAGCATACGCGATTGCGACATATTGAAAAACATATTTTAACGGATTAGAATAAGTTGTTAGGTTTAGCGGATGTGGTGGTACAATTTAGTGTGTACACAATCTGAATTCTGTTGATAAAGGATAGTGATCCAGTGTACCAGAAAAAATTTCTGTAGTGTATGAGACAGACTTGATGTCTCATCGTTCTCTGAGGAGGCACAAGAATGATCGCATAAACGGAGAAAGCACCTATTGCACACCTAATTTTTACTAATTTTTTTTAAATCATGACTGTCCTTCAGTTGTGGTGTCATTTCCATGGATGTAAACTAATGGATGGCTTTTCAGGAGGTGATTGAGGCCATCGCAGAGAGCGCCTTCAAGACGTCTCCGTTCCCAGTCATCCTGTCCTTTGAGAACCATGTGGACTCGTAAGTGTCAAAGCTCTTTTTCACTCTTTCTTAGAGTAACATAAATGATCCAAGTGTTTAGAGCTTTACTCACAGCATGTTGTTACAGTTAACATGTACTCTGTGAGTGTGTGTGTGTGTGTGTGTGTGTGAGTGAGTGTGAGTGTGTGTGAGTGA